GGGCGGGAGGGGGGGGCGGGAGGGGGGGGGTCGGGTCGGGAGAACTTCCCGGGGAGGTTCCTCCCTGGGAAAAAAAAAAGGGGCGGCAGCCCTGGCCGGGGCCGAGCGCGCGGCGCGGCGGGGAGGGGATATCGGGGCGGACCCGGAGGACATGGAGGGCGAGGGGGGCCCGGGCCGGGCCGGGGCCGTGCGGGAGCTCTGCCGCTCCTTCGGACACTACAACCGGCACCTGGCGCGGCTGCAGCACAACCTGCGCGAGACCAGGAGGTTCTTCCGCGACGTCAAGTTCTCCCAGGGACACCCCTTCGCCCCGGAGGCCGCCGGAGACGCTCCCCACGGAGGGGATGGGGATGAGGAGCCCGGGGACGGCCCCGCGCCCGGCGGTGAGAGAGGGGCCGGGAAGGGCCGGGGAAGGGCTGGGGAAGGGCTGGGGACTGGGGGGGAAAGGGGGGGCGTTCTGGGGGCGAATGGAGGGTTCCTGGGGTGAGGGGTCAATAGGGGGGCTTGCGAGGGTTGGAGGGCAGGTGAAAGGCGATGGAGAGTGAAGGGCTCTCATGGGGGGCTCTCTTATGGGGTTGCTCATTTTATGGGGTTTAGTGGGCTGGGGGTGCCTGCGGAGAGCTTGGGGCTGTGAGGAGGTTGGTGGGGTGAAGGGAGCAGGGCTGGAGGGGTATTTAGGGGGGTTTCAGTGGATATTACGAAAAGGTTCTTCCCCCAGAGGGTGGTCGGGCACTGACCAGGCTCCCCAGGGCAGTGGGCACGGCCCCAAGGCTGCCAGAGCTCCAGGAGGGTTTGGACAACGCTCTCCAGAACAGGGTCGGATTTTAGGGTGTCTATGCAGGGCTAGGGGTTGGACTGGATGATCCCTGTGGATTCCTTCCAGCTCAGGATATTCCATTCTTCCCTCTCCCAGTTTTTCAGCTCCCCCTTGCCCGGGTGTCAGGAAGAGGCAGCACCTGGGAGCGGGTGGGATGAGGGGTTGCTGTTCCCTGGGCTGTGTTTTTCCCAGGGGTTCCGTGGGAACAGTGGGTTTCTTCAGCAGCTCCCTGGGCATTTCTGCTGCTGTTGACAAACAGAGCTGCGGGTGGGAGCTCTCCTGCCACGTGCAGAACTTCATCTTTCCATAAGACTGTCTTGTGAGAGGAGACTTTGGCGTGACATGAAACCTTCATAAAGATCTTCTTCATTCATTTCCAAGCGGCTCATGAGTCATCTCTGTTGGCCACTTGTCCAGGAGACTTGTCCCTTCTTGTCTCACCCTCACAGTTGTGGTTTGAAGATGGAAGTGTTGGGATCTCCTGTCTGTCTGTGTTTTGAAAAAAAAAAAAAAAAAAAATCAGTGTTGAAAACCCTGGGTTGGGTCTGGCTGGCTGGGAGTTAATTTTCCCCATCTGTGGTGCCGTGGATTTGGAGCTGGGAAGGTGTTGGGAACACAGCAGGGTTTTGGGAAGTGCTGAGTAGCTTCTCCACGCTCCCCCCTCACACCAGGCTGGGAGGGAGCCAGATTTTTGGGAAGGGGCACAGCCAGGACAGGTGAGCCAAAGGGACTGTGTGGTGGGTGAGTTTGGGATTGTTCAGCCTGGAGAAGAGAAGGATTTGGGGTGACCTAGTTGCAGCCTTCCAGTGCCTCCAGGGAGTCGACAAGGAGGATGGAGAGAGACTATTTAAAGGGGTCTGGAGTGACAGGACGAGGGGGAACAGCTTCAAACTGCCAGAGGGCAGGGTTAGATGGGATGTTGGGAAGGAATTCCTCCCTGGGAAGGTGGGCAGGCCCTGGCACAGGGTGCCCAGAGAAGCTGTGGCTGCCCCATCCCTGGGAGTGTCCAAGGCCAGGTTGGAGCAACCTGGGCTAGTGGAAGGTGTCCCTGCCTGTGGCAGGGGTTAGAATAAGATGATGTTTAAGGTCCCTTCCCACCCAAACCATTCCATGATTCTAGGATTTTCCATGGTCTCAGAGCTGTTGGAATGGTCCCACTCACTGGAGCTGCTCCTGTGTTTGGTTACTCCTTGGAAAACGTTGCTGGTTCAACAGCAAGTGCATCTTTTAGACACGGGGGCATCATGAATCCAATATTCCTGACATAGGTACAGATCCCAACAGATTTCCTGCCTGTTGTTTCTAACCCAGAGCACTTATAACCTTCTTTTTTTTTATTCAAATCCGTACTTTGACCCACTTTGACCGGGTTCAGGGCTTCAGGGGAGGTCTGGCTGTTCAGAGCTTGGTTGTGCTGACAGTGATGACAGTGTGGGCTCCTGGCTCAGGGGTTTGGGCTCCTGGCTCAGGGGTTTGGGCTCCTGGCTCAGGGGTTTGGGCTCCTGGCTCAGGATTTCAGGCTGCAGAGGTTATCTGGCTTTTACTGCTCTGCAAACTATGGATTTAAGTTTTATTTTCAAACTGGTGACGTGGGACAAGGATCAAGTGAATAAACCTGCTCTGGGTTAGAGGGTGGGAGGTTGTGGTGGGAAGAGGATGAGGAGCAGGGCCTGGTAAAATAATGGACACAACTGCAAAATAACTGTGAATTAATGATTATTATTTTTTTTTGAGCTCTGGGAAGTCACGAGCCTTTGCCCAAAACCCAGAGCTTTGGCATAGCTTATTAACTTCCTGCCTGAATAACCCAAGGTGGTGGTTGGAGAAGCTTTATCATATTAATAATAGTATTAATTTTCTTTATTATAACAAGAGCTCCTTGTTTCTGTACAGTTTAATGGTGTTGGACATTTCTGGTGTTCTCTGATTTGTAGTGGTTGGTAATGGAAGTTTTTTCCCCTGTGTAACATGGAGAGTTTTTTGAGTGTCAGAGGGTTTAAAGAGCCCAGTTCTCATTGAATTCAGAACCCCTTTTTGCCCTTCAGGTGGTATCAAAGTGAGAGGAATTCTGACCAAATTGTTCTGCAGACTTTTTGTGAAACACAAAGGAGCTGGGGATGGAGTGGAGTGGACAGGACACACTGCCCAGGGCTGGAGTGGAAAATAAACTGTGAAAAGTAAATGCAGATGTCCTGGAAACAAAACAAAGTGAAGGGTTTGCTTTTGAGGCACCTGAAAAACTCGTGGAACAGCCTGGAAAGGGAAGTGGCCTCTGGATCAACAGCTGAAGCCCAGCCTGGGTTCCTCTGCCCACAGCCAGGGCTGAGTATCTGCTGAGCAGTGGCCCCTGGGGTGAGCTGGGTCAGCCTGGGCTGGCACTTCTGGGAGAAAGAAATCCTCTTCCATCCCTCCCCTCTGCTCAGGAGGGTGACAGCAAAACCCATCAATAAATGACTGTCACTGACCAGACTGTGGTGGCAGCAGCAGGACTTACACCTCGTAGTGAGAGAAGTGAACTCAATCCAAGGGAAAGAATAATTTGCCTTCCAGCTACTGTTTATGAGGGAAAGGCAAGTCCGGTTTGCTCTGTCTGCCTTTCTGAGGGAGTCAACAAAATCCTGTCTGTTCTCTGGGGCTGCCTTGGCATGAGTTGGCATCTCAGAGTGATTTGTTCAAGTGCTGAGACAATCCTGCAGCTTCAGGTCTGGCAGCTTTTGGTTCTTGGTGCTGATAACTGGCGTGTTTGCTGGAAAAACAAACCCCGATTTAGGGACTCGGCAGCAGGTTTTACTAAAATATGTAAAGATACCAAGGAAAAAGTCCCTCAGCCCTGCTTTCTGCTAATTGGGGTTGTTTTCTTTGTTCTGTGCTTGCAGTAATTGGAGGTCTTTGATGTAGGAACCTCAGGGGTTATTTCTTTTATTTTAGGAATTTCTGCAAGCTGAGCTAACCCCAAATCTAGAGCATCCCCAGAGGTTTGGGCAGCAGCTGGAGTGTTACACCAGTGGTGTGTGCTGAGGGAGAGCCCTGGGCTCTGCTGCCTCCATAAATAAGGGGGTTTTATAGGGATGAGATCACGTGGAATCCCAAAATGGTTTGGGTTGGAAGGGACCCTAAAGCTCATCCCATTCCACCCCCTGCCACGGGCAGGGACACCTTCCACTAGTCCAGGTTGCTCCAAGCCCTGTCCAACCTGGCCTTGGACACCTCAGTTGGTAGAACTGTGCTATCATAAGTCTTGTGGTGGCCAAAACCTCCTGCAGGTCATGAGCAGCAGCAGAGCAATGGGAGGATTCCTCTGCAAACCCTCAGCATTTGCAGTAAGAGGCTCTGGCCATGTTTAGGTTGTCCTCACGTAGCACTGGAACTGGAACAGAAAAGACAAGTGATGCTGGCAGAGGATCCCTGGAAAAGGGATGAGTCAATGCTTGGGGCTTCTATAGATTCCATAGATCCAAGCTCAGCCTCTCCTGCCAAGTGTTTGGCTGAGTTTTGAGCTGAGCCTTGGTGAGAGACGTCCTTGTTCTTGGACAGGCCTCCTTTCATGGCGCGGCTCACGGGATCCACGCGCTCCAGGACTCCCCCGAGCCCTGGGTTTGAAGTGTTCATCACATGTCTCCCAGTGATTACGGTCGATGGATCCAGGATGTACCACCAGCTCCAGTCCTTGGCAAGAGCCCTGTCACGAACAGGAGCTGCTCGTGGACGTGCAGGAATGTCACTGCAGCTCTCCAGGCAGCAGGTTCTGAACTTCCTTTGTGGTGGGAAAGCACAGCCTGAGTTCGTGTTGGGATTTGTGGCACCAGCTGTTGAGTTCTTCAGGAGTGTTTGTACCCTGTGTCTTCAGGAATTTAGGCAGTAATCCTCTCTGCAGTGCAGAGTGTGTCCTCTCTGACACACCAATACCTCCAAGGGGTGTCAGGATGGTGCCAGGTCTGTTCAGTGGTGCCCAGTGGCAGCGTGAGGAGCAACAGCCATAAACTAAAACACGACAAGTTCCAGCTCAACATGAGGCAGAACTTCTTTGCCTGGAGGTGGCAGAGCCCTGGAACAGCTGCCCAGGGAGGGTGTGGAGTCTCCCTCTCTCTCTCTGACATTCCAAACCCCCCCGGATGAGTTCCTGTGTCACCTGCCTGGGCAGGGGGTTGGACTGGGTGATCTCCAACCCCAACCAGTCCTGTCACTGTGCAATTTGCTTCAGGTTTGGGACCCTGAGGTGGCTGTAAAATGCCCAGTGATGGACAAACACAGGGTTAAAGCCACTGCCATGACCTGGGTGCCTTGATGGTGCTCTGGGTGAGCTGGGACACAACCAAATCCAGGGTTCGGTGCCAGGTCTGTGCTTCACGTGCTTGGGATATCTCAGGGTGACCTAATGGTAAATTTGAGGCTTTGTTACTGGTGCTGCTCCTGGGAGGAACTTGTTGAATAAATGCTGATCACAGGCTGTGGGTGTGAAAAAGGAAGAACTTACAGCAGTTTTCCAGTGCTCCAAGAGAGCTGGAGAGGGACTTTTCACAAGGGCAAGGAGAGACAGGGCAAGGGGGAATGGCCTAAAGCTGAAGGAGGGAAGGTTTAGATGGGATATTGGGAAGGAATTGTTCCCTGGGAGGGTGGGGAGGCCCTGGCACAGGTTGCCCAGAGAAACTGTGGCTGCCCCATCCCTGGAAGTGTCCAAGGCCAGGTTGGAGCAACCTGGGCTAGTGAAAGGTGTCCCTGCCCATGGCAAGGGGGTGGAATATAATCTTTAGGATCCCTTCCCAGCCAAACCAGTCTGCAATTCTATTTATATATCCATGCTGGGCCTCAATAATTTTGGTTAAGCCGCTGTATTTCAATCATTTTCTCTCATTAAGTGCCCACAAAGCCAGAGCCTGCCTGGGGTGGGGAGAGGCAGCTCTGCCTCCTCTCTGCTCTTCAAAAGCCTCTGCAGAGCAGACTGTGCCTGTGCAACCCTCCCTGAATTGCCTTTTTTTCATGCTTGGTAGCTGAAGGGCGAGTCTGGATGGCAGCAGAAGGTTCAAGAAATGTTCCCAGATCAAAGAAATTCTTTATCTTGTAGATGAAGGCTGAAATGTGCTATTTGTGAGGTTTTGCAGATCCTTATCTTGTGTGAGCTCCTGGCCAGCTTTGGCCCTTTGGTCACTTGATGTGGCTGCTCTGTCAGGCTGTGCATCTTGAAAGGCTTGTTTAAGGAACAGTTAGAAGAGCCAGTCCCACTTCAGGGAGTGATTTCTCTCTCAGCCTTTCCCAAACTTGGCTTTTGGGGGTCAGTGGTCAGAATTGCAGGAGAGGGGTTTGCTGAGCCACCTTAGTGTTGGGGTGGGAAAAACCTCTCCAACAGTATATTTTCAGATGGAAGGTTTGAAGAAAAAGTCAATTTTATTCAGGGTGTTAAAGAAGCCTTAAACTGGTCTAAGACACAAAGAACTACATGTGGTACTGCTCCAGACTGGCCTGATTTTAGTTAAACCAGGGGAATGGAGTGGTGTCAGTGAGGAGCAGAATGTGCTGTATGCTCTCTTTAATTTGCAGTGTTGAGGAGTATCTTGGTACATGGGAGTATCTTGTTTTCCTGGGGCTTGGAGATGCTGAAACGATTTTGGCTGCCAGAACATGACTCATTAGAAGAATTTTAATAGCCCTGGTGAAACAGGACCTCCCCTGTCAAACCCCAGTTGCTGTGTTGTAGTTAATTCTCTCTTTAAGCTGCTGCTCTTGCCAGTTTGCCCCCTATCAGGGCAGTCGTGGTGGTTTGAAATTGGTGTCAAATTGAAAATCTGGCAGGTTTTGGGGCCTGGTGCCTCCATTTGCCATTTCATTCTGGTGCCTCCAGGTCTGGACTGTGACCCAGCCCTGGCTGTGGTGCAGCACCAGCTGTTTTGTGTTCCTGAAGTGCAGCACATGAGGGATTTGTTTGTGTCCCTGTTTTTTGTTCTCCCAGAGCTATTCCATTGCTGTGCATCAGGGAACACAGAGCTGCTCAGGCTGAGTGGGGGCAAAGCTCTGATTAGGACTTGTAAAAGAACAGAGAAGCTAAACCCAGTCCTGAGCCTGAATTAGGGCAGGGAGTTGTTCCATCCCTCTGAGCTTGGAATTTTTAGTCCATGATGCTGCAGTTGGTGCTGGCAGATGAGTAAGGAGGGTGATTACAGGGAGTCCTGCTCTGGAGGAGATACAGATGTTGAGTAACTTCCTTTCACAGCTCAAGTGCTGCTCTTAAAATGACAGTCTGTCCAACTGGGCCTGTTTGGTTCAGCTGGACAGGTCAGGGAAGGTGTTTGCTCTTGGTGCCTCCAGGCAGTGAAGCTGTTGTTGTGTTTTGAGCTGCTCCAGAACCTTCTGGCTCTTGGCAGAGGGTCTTCCCTGCCCAGGCTGCTGGGAGTGGGGCACTTTCTGGAGGTGCTGTGACTGTTTGTTGTAGGGAATTGCTGGCAGAGGCTGTTCCTTCTCCTGCTGTGCCTCAGCAACCTCGGTCTTGTCTGCTTGATGTACAGAGGCAATTTTGCAGGAATGCCTTTCCCTGAGGCCAGGACAGAGGGTTTGCTGCTTTCACATCAATATTCCTAGATTTTGGTCAACAGGCTTGTGCAGTGGCACTCTTGGGATTTGGTAGATGTGAAGGATCTGATGTTCTGAAGTGTGGGTGGAACTGTCACT